CAGTGTATCTTTAAATGGATACAAATTACACTAAGAACTGAAGAGGGGAAAATGAAGTTGATAAGGGAAAGAAAAACTCTCTGCTCATCCAAAGAGAAGAGCCCAAAGGAGCTAGTTTCCGTGGTCTTGATTAGGAATGTGAGCTGCAAGACAGTTGCTGGGTGATTCCTGGCATTTGCTGTTTTCTTTCCAGAGGGTGAGTGTTGATGCCCTCTAGGCTTTCTGATGTTAAACATTGTAGAAGTTTCACCATGGCTTAGTCCTGCTTGGTGTCCTTGTTTCTTTTCATGCCTCTTCCCCTGCTGGTGCTGTGTTAGAATGGACCAGTGCCTAAGGAGTTTCAGGTGGGAATGAAGCTGGAGGCCGTGGACAGGAAGAACCCTTCCTTGGTGTGCGTGGCTACCATAGCAGATGTTGTGGATGACCGCTTACGAGTACATTTTGACAACTGGGATGACAGCTACGATTACTGGTGAGACACCATTGTTTGTTTTTTTCTCTTTTCCCCAGCATGTTCTTATGTTTGGTTAAGAATTTATTTTTATTCCAGTCCTATCACTTTACTTGCTGTTCTTATAGTAATAAACATCAGGAAATTCAGTGGTGACTTTTCACAGCCTTCTCTGATGTGAATTTTGTTGAAATAAGGAACCTAAGAAACTATTTCCACATCTATAAGAAGTTATCTAATGAGGCCTTACCAGAGCAGTTAAGGGAACTTCACTGTATGTTTGTCTAGTTTGCAAGGGAAACAATTTTGTGAAGAGCAATTTAAGAACTTGTCGTGTTCTTTTCTTTTCTTTTTTTTTTTTTTTGTGTGTGTTTTTCTGAAAGATGTTGCATTCAACCCATCACATTTTTAAAAGAAAGATTCAGGGAGCACAGGAGTGGATTATTTAAGCCTGTGGGGAACAGAGAAAATGTGTGCTATGAAGCCATTAAACTAACATTGCATGAGTTAAAAGGGTTTTCTGGATAAAACCCTGAAATACAGAGGAGGTCACAGTGAAAATACTTTTTTTGTAGCATTTCCTCATAGTGTTTCCTGAGTAATGGACAAGTCCCTACAAGGGGCTATTGTTCTTAATTTGCATGAAGGGAGTCTTGTTTTTCCTTTTGAACCAAGAAGTAAAGCATAGAGTAATTGTTGTATGTGTCTTTGGTGGAATGTTCTGGATTCTTTGAAAGGAGGAAGAGGAAAAATGTAGTTATCTGGAATCTAGACTGTCCTATTAACATTTAGACTGTCCTATTAATATTTTCCATTACTGTAAGTAAAACTGATAGAAAAGGTATAGTCTTTGCTCTCTGACGATATCACTAATAACATTTCAGGTCTTTCCCCCTTTATTAATGCTATGAAGTTTCAAGAAGGTTATGCAAAAGAGAAGTTTAGTCACTCAGCCTACAAATATGGTACAAAAAATTACTTCTCTTTCCCTTTAGCTATGAATTACTGTTTTCTGTGATATCTCTGAATATCTAGAATAGCAATTACTCTTGGATTCTTTCTCTGGGATTGAGTAATATGGGATCTAACACAGGATCCTGTTTTTGCAGGTGTGATGTTAATAGTCCTTATGTCCAGCCAGTTGGTTGGTGTCAGGAGAATGGAAGAACTTTGATAGCGCCCCAAGGTGAGCAGACTGGGTTTTCTTTGAAGTTATCTCTGTATGAGTGGCTATCCACATTTTAATTTTTGTGCATGTAAATCACATTTCAATGCAAAGTATATGATAAAAATGCTGAGCAAGATTTTTTTCAACCACCAAGGATCTGAACTGTGGATGTGCTTCCCATAGTGAAAAAGGACTTTTTGTAAAGATGTATTAGACAACCATTAAAAGAAGTTGTTAAGAGTTTTTATCTCATTAAATGAATACCATTGCTGAGGATTGACATTTAAAACTGGCTATTTACATGTACATAATTTATCTTATAACAATTAATTTTTGAGTCATAAGATTATGAAATACACTTAACTTTGGCATTAAATATAGAAATGCAGAAATCTGAGAATTGAGAATTAATGAGTTTCCACACTTGCCAGACTTCTTTTAACAAACTGACTTAATGGTTAGCTAAGCAGTTAAGTAAAGACTCTTAATAGATGTTTTTACTCCATTATAGAAATATTTAGAGATTTTCTTTATCAAGCTTCTTTTTTTTTTACATTTAAAAATGAGTGAAGGCTAGGGATGTAGCTCAGCAGCACAGATCATGCAAGGAGCCCTGGATTTGATTCCCAGCACCTTCCTCCCCTCCAAAAAATTTAGATGTAGTGGCTATGTAAACTTGGCATGTTAAAAACAGGTGACCAAGGAGAAATATGATTTCTTTCAGTACATAATATACAGGAAGAAATGTAGAGTAAGGAACATGCCATCTGGAGTGGAGCAACTGTTTATTTTTAAATTTGAATGATTCTGGAGCTTTGCTATTAATCTTTTTTCCCTTAAGTATAGAAAAGTATTAGAATTTCCTACTAAATTCTTAAATTTGGTGACCAGAAATTAAATAATTAAAAACCCAAATTGAGTCAAATAAAGCAAAACAAAAATTTTCAACTATTCACAGATAGCCATTTGGTCTAGAAAGGTTTTTATGAAATGTGTAACATCTCAAATTCTGATTTTGACATACAGATTTAGAGTCTTTTCCCTATATTTCTATAAAAAGGGCTAAAGCTCACTAGCATTCTTTAAAAATGAAGTCCGATATCTGTCACTTCATCCTGAAGCTGAGATTAGATGTTCATCAGTTGGTGTGTGTGAAGATAGGAGACTACATTCCTTGCATCTTCCTCTGTGAGTCTAGAAACGTTCTTTGAAGCATGTTAAGAAATAAGTGTTCAGTGTTCTGTAATTCATAAGATTGGGGTGTCTCTGAGAGAGGTATTCCAAGGCCACCAAAAGATTACTTTTTTTCCCATTAGTTTTTTCCCTTATTTCAGTAAGAGAAAGTTGATCATAAGTGTATGAGTTCAGGGGCTGGGGATGTGGCTCAAGCGGTAACACGCTAGCCTGGCATGCTCGGGGCACTGGGTTCGATCCTCAGCACCACATACAAATAAAATAAAGATGTTGTGTTCATAGAAAACTAAAAAATAAATAATAAAAAGAAAATTTCTCTCTTTCTCTAAAAAAAAAAAAGTGTATGAGTTCATTTCTGGACTCTTCAGTTTTATTCCATTGGTCTGTATGTCTATTCTTATATCACTGATACCCTACTACTTTTATTAGTAAATTTCAGAATTGGAAAGTGTGAGTCCTCTAGCACTTTAATTATTTTTCAAGATTAGTTTTTACTCTTCTGGGTCTCCTGAATTTTCATATTCATTTTAGAATTAACTTTTCAATTTCCACCATAAAGCTAGCTGGGATTTTGATAGAGATTTACCAAATTTGTAGACCAATTTGGGGAATATTGGCATTTTCACAATGTTAAGTTTTCTATCCCATGATTTTCCTCTGTTTAGGCCTTCTTTAACTTTCTTCTGATGATATTTGTAGTTTTCAGTCTACAAGTCTTTCACTTTTTTATTACATTTGTTACTAAGTATTTTATTCATTTTTAAATTGAGGTAAAATTCATATTGCTAAGTTAACCATTTTAACAACAGTACAACCCTGGGAACGATGCTTATAATTAACAGTGACCCTTTAGGAGAGACTCAGAGCACACCCAACCATGGCATTTTCTGAGACACAGTAGTTTTTAATTGGAGCATTTTAGCTTATGTATTTTTTTCTTTTGTTTCTTTTGTTTTGGGCGTTAAATCTAAGAATCAGTTGCCAAATTTGAAGTCATGAGAATTTACCTGTGTTTTTTTCCTATGGAATTTGTGGTTTTTTGTTCTTAAATTTAAGCCATTGATTCATTTTTTATTTAATTTTTATATATGAAATAAGGTAGGGGTTCAAATTAATTCTTTTGCATCTGGTTCCCGGTTTTACCAGCAACATTTCTTGAAGAGACTATTCTTTCCCATTGAGTGATCTTAGCACCGTTTCTGAAAATAAACTTTTCATAGATATTTAGGTCCACTTCTGGACTCTAGTTCTGTTTTCATTGGTCTTTTTGCCTGTAATATGCCAGTACCATTCTGTTTTGATTACTGTAGTTCTGTTGTCAATTTAGAAACCAGGAAGTGTGAATTCTCCAGCTTTATTCTTTTACATGACTATTTTGTCTATTGAGACCCTTTGAAGTTTGATAATAATTTGTGGACTGACTTTCCATTTCTGAAGAAATGATTATTGGATAAGTGATTATTGATAAGTGTTGTGCTGGATCTGTAGATTGCTTTGGGGAATATTGCCATCTTATCAATATTAAGTTTTCTAGTTTATAAACACAAGATGTCTACTTGAATTACTTGCTGCAATGTTTCTAGTTTTCAATTTATAAGGCATTCACCTATTTGATTAAATTTATTCATAGATACTATTATAAATGGAATAGTTTTCTTAATTTACTTTTGGTACAGAGAATCACATATGATTTTGTGTGTTGTTATTTTATCCTGCAACTTTAATGAATTAATTTATTAGTTCTAGCTAGTGGTTTTCTTTGTGCTTTGACTCTAGAATTTCCTATGTGGAATCATAGCATCTGCCAAAAAAGATAGTTTTACTACTTCATTTCCAATTTGTATGCCTGTCATTTTTTTTCCTTGCCTAATTGCTGTATCCAGGGCTTCAAGTACAAAGCTGAACAGCATTGGCAAAAGTGGCCTTCATTGTTTTTTCCTTAGGAGAAGCATTTCAGTTTCCTACCTTTGAATATGATGTTAGCTGTAGGTTTTAATAACTTACTCTGTTATGCAAAGGAAGTTTTCTTTTATTACTAGATTATGGAGTCTTTTTATCGTGAAATGGTGTTGAATTTTTTTCTCAGGGTTTTATTTGCATCTATGGAGAAGATGATGTCATTTCCTGCCTTTTCTCTATGAATTTAATTATTACATTGATCACTTTTCTTATGTTGAACACCCTTCATTTCTGGAAAATAGTTATTTAGTCATGGTGCACAATTCTCTTAATGTGTTGTTGGAATCAGTTTGCTAGTGTTTTGTTGAAGATTTCTGTACAGACATTCAATAAGGGACATTGACCCATAGTTTTCTTGTCATATCAGTTGGTCTATTCTTTTTATGCTATTGTAAGTGGAATTGTTTTCTTAAGTTTTATTTTTGGATCATTTCATATCTATAGAGATTCAATTTCTAAGTATTTATCTTAAAAATCCTGTAGCTTTGCTGAATGTATTTATTAGATCTAGTAGATTTTTGGGGGGTAGGGTTGGGAGTGGGAGGATTCCTTAGGACCTTCTATATACAAAAATATATTATCTGCAAATAAAGATACTTTTACTTTTTCCTTTCTATGCTGGATGCCTTTTCTTTTTTGCTTAACTCTTGTGCATATGCATACCGTTCAATATAAAATCGACTAGTAGTGGTAATGTGAGACATCTCTCTCTTTTTGTTTTTTTAATTGTTCCTTGTTTTGGAGTAAAGCTTTCAATCTTTCACCATTAACTGTGGCATTTGCTGTGTTTTTTATAGATGTTCTTTATCAGACTGAGGAAGTTCCCTTCCATTCCTAGTTTGTTAAGCATTTAATTTAAAGGGGTCTTTTATTCTGTTAATTTGGTATAATTATATTGATTGATTATCAAATGCTGAACCAATATTGTATTCCTGGAATAAATCCTACACGTGTGTAGTGTGTGTATGAGTATTTGTACATGTGTTACAACAATTTGTTTGTTAGTAGTTTTTGAGCTTTTTTGAGTGTAAAGTCATAATCTCATCCATTCTTTTAAAACATTTTTATGTGTAGCCTGGGAAAGTGGCACATGCCTGTAATTCCAGCTACTTGGAGACTGAGGCAGGATGATTGCAAGTTTTAGACTAACCTCAGTAACTTTGGGAGGCTCTAAGCAACTTAGCAAGACCCTGTTTCAAAATTTAAATAAAAAGCTTGGGGATGTGGCTCAGTGGTTAAGCACCCCTGTGTTCAATGTCAATAATAATAATAATAATAATAATAATAATAATAATAATATATTTTTATTCCTAGTACAGAAGACTTTTCTGAAGGCTAAGGAAAAATAGGAAGAGCAATAAGTACAAAACTTTAGTGTTTAACATATTCATCCACAGTATGCATGATTACTTGTCTGTAAGAAAGATTCAGTAGTGTCATAAAAAGTTTGTTTGCATGATATTGTGCAGGGATGACCCTTCAAGGTGGTCTTCATGAGCCACAGGACACTTCTCATTTGCTATAATGATATTTAAAATGAAAATTCAAGCAGATAGTTTAATCAATGTATGATCAAGTTAGTGGAGTATAATGACATTACAAACAAAAGTACTATGAGAAAAAATTTGTTGAAGACAAAAGTTCACTAAAGTTTAGGAACCCAACTGCACCAAAGGTGTTAAACTCTACTAACTGCATAAAATAGGAAAAGTTTGGAGCTGTGGAGAGTAGATGGGATGGAGAACCAGTGTCATCTTCAGATATTCTCTCCCATAAGACAAGGCTGAAGCTAGGACTGCTTGTGTCTGTGTGTGTTTGTGTGTAACACACATGTGTGCACTGCCATGCATACACACCAACACAGAGGCTGAGTATTTCTTATCTGATGTGGCTTGGACC